CCAGTTACACCCCCAATATCCCAGTTACACCCCCAATATCCCAGTTATATCCCCAATATCCCACACACAGAGAACTCCTGTGGGACGTCCCCCTGTCCCTCACACCTCCTGCCTTCGATCACTTCCACCCACTCCTCCTGGGATCTTTGGGTAAATGGAGAGGGACAATCACCTCCAAAAGACCACCCAGACCTGACACAGGGTCCTTTGACCCCTGGAGGTGCCTCCCTCTCCACCTGGAGCCGAGGTTGGCCGTGCTTCCCACTGGGAACTGCACCGCTTTGGGCTGTGTGTGTCCAAACCCAACCCTGGAAGCCTGTTGCCTTCAAAACTCCAGGCAAACACTCCCCAGGGAGCAGGAATGCTACACCATGGACAAAGGGAAGGTAAAAATGCTGGATAGTCTGCTTGGAATTGCAGGGAGGACTCAGTTTTTCATTTTTTTGCCCTGTAGGAAGCTCCAAAAGCTTTTCCTGCTATAACTAACAAGGAGGATCTTCTTACTCCCTCCAGTCACTGTGTTTCAGCCAGAGGTTATCCAGGAGGATCCCACACCACACGAGGATATCCCAAGTGCTGTGCATGGATCCACCACCTCACCTGCTTCAGGGTCTTCACACTTTCATGGATGGGCCGTGGGAGCCCGATCAGGGTCTCGGTGTCCCTAGGGAGGGGGAAAGAAGGGGAGTAAGGGTTATATGAGGTGAAAGAGGGAGCCTGGAGTCTACTGGACACATCCCAGAGGGGTCAGGAACCGGGAGAGGGGTTGGCATGAGCTGCCCACCCTCCCACCTCCTCCCCAGTGAAGTTCCTCCAAGAAAGGAGCAAAGTCGGGGTGAGGAATTGGGGTGAAACCAGATGAAATGAGGGCTGGGCTGGAGCCAGCCTGAGCCCAGCACTGCCCCTAAACCTGACTGTCCCCCTCTGGGCCCGGCCCAGGATGGCTCTGCACCCACAAACTGGGTCATTTCCTGAGGACACCAAACTGTTCCAGCTCCCTCCGCATCAAACCAGTCCCAGCCTTGGGCCAGGGGTCTCTCACTCCAGCTCTCATTTTTAACAGAAAGAGGCCCTTGGGGAGTAGTGTCTCCAAGAACAGGTTTTTCCAACGCTGCTTTCACTGCTGCAGCCTCGAGCTGGGAAAACCTGAGCTCTGTGGACACCTCCCGTGCACTGACTGGGATCTACAGGACAGGTTTTGTGGACACAACACTCACTGTCCCAGCGTGAATCCGATGAATTTGTTCCTGCTTGCTTCCAGGAAATGCTCAATGTCCTTCTGCCTGATGGAGCAGAGGAGAAACAAAGAACAAGGAGGAGGTTGGAAAACGGATCAGAGCCTTGGATTGGTTTCTGGAGGTCTCGTCAGCAATGGGAAAAGCCACCCTTGGTTGGGAGCAGCACGGACCAAACCCATTTGTATTTGCTGTGCAGCTCCACTTCTCCATGGGAAAGTAAACAGAGAGGAATTCTCTACAACCAGCACCTTTTCCTGCACCTCCCGTGCTCCTCCCACAGGCATCTCCAAGGAGCATCTGCTCGCTCTGAGTGAACAAATGTTGTCTCTGTGGTCTGTCAGAGCTCGTGCTGCTCCCAGGGCAGGCCAGCATCTCGTCCACCTTGGGCATTTTCATGGGAACTGGACAGGATCAGTGGGACACGAGCCAAGGGTCTCATGGGCAGAGAAATCCAGCTGGATTTCCAGGCAATGGCCAAGGAAAACAACAGGAGGTTGCTGAGGAGGAGCTGAGAGCGTTGAGCGCCGTGGAGATCCACGTGGGAAACAATTCCTGCCGTGTCCCTCTGGATGGACCAACTTAACCCTGTCACTGCTCCCCCGGCAGAAATATCTCTTTGCTCCCGTGTTTTAAAGGCACCAGGTTAAATCCAGGCTTTGGGCAAATGGCAACAACCCTCAGATGGATCTGAGGGCAGAGGTTTGCACCCTCTTTTCCTGACATTCCCTCAACACCACGTGCAGGTCTGAGGGAGGGAAGGCACCGACTCCTTTATCCTTGGATGTTTTTCTCCACCGCTCAGGAAGGTGCCACCTGGCCACACAAGAGTCCAGCTCCACAAGGAAGCTGTCAATCATTGACCAGCTCCCCAGAGGATCAGTTGAGGACCTTGCCCTTCCAAGATCCACCGGAGCCAGCTGGGGAAGCTGACCCTGCTCCAGCACAGCCTCCATCCCAGCACAACCCGGGACGTCCACAGTGGAAATGCCACTTCTTGGCCAAGCTTGGTTTCAAAACCCTGGGGAAGAGCTCAGCTAAGCCCAGCCCAGAAAGAACCAAACGAGACGAAACGAGGAGTGGAATCCCCTCAGTTCAACTCGCCAGGAAACTTCCCATGGGCTGACGTGGGGATGAATTCCAGGGCAGGGGAGCCGGGGAGGGTGGCAGTGACACTGGGGGGGGGTTACCTGACTTTGGGGGCCCAGGGCAGCCCCTTGGGGAAGGACACCCTCTCGATGGGCAGGCGCTGCGGGGGCAGGGGGGGGACGATCGTGTCCCGCTCCATCAGGTCCAGCTCCCCCTCGATCCCGCTGTCCACGTCGTCGTTCTCCTCCTCCTCCACTCCTGCCTCGTCGTTCTTGAAGGGGTCTCTCTCGTTGTAGATGTCCAAGCTGTCCTGCTTCACCAGGGGCTGCAGCACGAGGGGGAGGAGGAACCCAAGTCACTCCGTGGATTTTATTTCCCTGCCAGCTGTCACCACCAGATCTCCCCATCCTGGAAGGATCAAGCTCCCAGGTGTTCCTCGGGGGAGGATTTCCCTCCTAGCCTGGCCTGGGTAAGGAATAACTCCTTCTGTACCTCTAACTTTGCAGCTCTAGGACGTGGGACCCCATTATCCACCTCAACTTCTGGAGCTTCCACCCCACATCTCTGCCCTCACAAAAGGCATTTCATCCTCAGACCACAGCACAGCAACTCCAGGAGAGGAGCTAAAAACAGAAACCTGCTGGGAGCAGTTTGCTCCTGGGGGTTATCAGCCCTTTGCCAGAGGGTCAGGATGTCCTCTGGTTTCCTCTGGACAACCCCACCAGGGGCTGAGCTGCCACAACAGAAACTGGGGGGATGGAAAACTGGACATGGCCTGGCCATGTGTCCTGAGAGCCCCAAACCCAACTGTGCCCTGGGTTGATCCCACAGGGAGCGTGGGCAGCAGGGCAGGGGGGGATCCTGCCTCTCTGCCTCCTCAGGGGAGACTCACCCCCTCCTGTAGAGCTGCTCCAGCCCTGGAACAACAGCAGGAGGACGTGGAGCTGCTGGAGAGAGTCCAGACAAGGCCCTGGAGCTGCTGCCAGGGCTGGAGCCCCTCTGCTCTGGAGCCAGGCTGGGAGAGCTGGGGGGGTTCCCCTGGAGAAGAGAAGGCTCCAGGGAGAGCTGAGAGCCCCTTGCAGGGCATAAAGGGGCTCCAGGAGAGCTGGAGAGGGACTGGGGACAAGGGATGGAGGGACAGGACACAGGGAATGGCTTCCCAGTGCCAGAGGGCTAGATGGGATATTGGGAAGGAATTGCTGGTTGGGAGGGTGGGGAGGCCCTGGAATGAATTTCCCAGAGAAGCTGTGGCTGCCCCTGGATCCCTGGAAGCATCCAAGGGCAGGTTGGAGCAACCTGGGATAGTGGAAGGTGTGGGTTGGAACCGGATGGATCCCTCTCAGCCCAAAGCATCCCAGCAGGACGTGGTGGTTCCTACCCTGCGGCTGCGGTGGCCCCGCTTCTGCTGCTGCTGCTGCTCCACGAGCTCGATGGAGTAGGTGGGAGGAGAGGCCGCCCTCATGCTCCGGACCACCTGGATGCTGTCCTCGGGCAGGGGGGGCAGCCCCAGCTCCTCCCGCCGCCGCACCTTCATGGCCTGCAGGGCCTCGAACCCGCCCAGCGTGAACTGGGGACAGAGGAGAGGTCACTCAGCAGGGACACACATCCCATTGCTCAGCAGGGACACACATCCCA